TGTCTTCCCTGAATGATATAACCTCCAGGCTTCCCAGGACTGGGCCTTTTTCTTTTTAAACAGCCTCTATACTTTGGACAGTGTCCTGCACATAGTATGTACTCAATAATCGTTTGTTGAATTGAAATCTAGTGTATTTCAGATTGAATTAGAAAGTAAAAGGCAAACTGCATTATTGTCCAACAAGTTTGAGTCCCGAATCCTCAGTTAAGCAACAGTTGTATACTGGATTGTGCTGGGGGCTCAAGTCTTATTTCTGTCCCATAAAACCAACAATTTGCAATCTATACAAACAACACCCAAAGCACAACCACACACCTATATAACTACCCCCCAAACTCTTCAGTAGTAGTCACAATGTATTTTTTAAAGACTAATTAAGTTATGTGGGGGTTTGCAGGAACTAAACATTACTTCTATATTCTCGGAAGACATTAAGCTCCTTCATCCTCAAACATAGAGACATAATTAAGATTCCGAAGTCATGCACCCATTCATACCCTGCCAGTAACATTTACTAACCTGTCACCCTGTGTTCCAGCCAGGGGCTGGGGATTCAACCCAGGTAGCAGCTACACACAGCAGGGCCGTCAGGTGCCAGACTGTTGTTGGGTTTGCATGCACAGGGTACCGGCGTCTAAACTAGACAGCTCTGCTGAGTAGCAGACAGCAAATGAAAACTTGCGGTGAAAAGACGAAAACGTGACTGTGGTGGGAAAAGGGGCGAGAAGAAGGGAAAAGGAAGGGTGAGTGGGGAAAATTCTATTTCACAAAACATCTTGACTGACAGGGGCAACCATGCCATCACCTAGAACAGCACCTGGCATACTCGGGACGCGTTCTCTTCTGCGATGACTGACTCACCTGCCAGCACTGCAAAGCCCGTCCCCTCAGGACGCCCCGCTGCCAGGCCTGGATGGCTCCGGTCCCGGCGCACCCCACCCCCGCACCCGGAACCTCACACCCACTCACTATGAGCGCCGGTGGCCAGAGTGGGCGGAGGCGCGGCGCTGCAGCCTTTCCCGGGCGCCTGGACGGCCTGTGCTCAGGCTGGAGTCTGACGGGCGTTGTCCTGGGCGCCGCCGGGGATCTCCGCAGACTCTGCAGAGAAAGGAAAGTACCTGCGGGGAGAAAAGGCAGGGCCGCGCGCCCCGCCTTCTTCCGCTTCCTCCAATCACACAGGGAACCCGCTGGCCCAATCGAACGTGGCTGTTCCGCGGGCGCGCTGCCTCCCTCCGGGCACAGCTGCTCTACCACCCGCCTGGTCCTTCCTTGGGCCCCCGTGTGGGTAACCTGAAGCTCGGCTCCGTGGTGCAACTTAGCGGACTGGCGGTTATATTTACAACTTTAGAGAACAACTAAAAGGAAGTTATGCTTTTGCAGAAGCCGAATCTTTGAGATGCCTGCCTTAGCCCTGAGGCAGTGGACGCAAGTGGGGACACTGTCATTTTAGAAGCTATAAACCCAGGGAACAGAATCCTTACCCTGCATGAACGCTCAGAGACGTTCAGCACAGTTGACGCCACCATTCCTTAGCACTTTCTTCCTTGGCCACGATGCCGACACGGCCTCCTTGCTTCTTCCTACCTTTTTGACACAATTCCCTTACCGCTGCTCCAGCTCCACTGCTAAACCCTCCTCTGTTCAGTGTTGTCAGGGTCCGAATATTGGTCAGCTTTACCTACACCTCCGCACGACCTGTTGTGATGACTTTACTCATAGCTTAAATTTACTTCTAGATATGGAGTGCTTCTACATGTGTCTCCTGTCCACACCTGGGTATCCTGTCCACACCTTACCTCCAAACCCCGCACCCAGGTGTACAGCCCCCACCTAACTCTTCTTGGATATCCTGTAAACTCCACAGACTAGCTATATGCAGAATCAATTCATCATCTTTCTCTTCAAACTGTCTTTTTTTCTAGAAATGGCACATGCCAAATGGCTAGAAATCCGTTTTGACATTTCCTTCTGCCTCACCCTCAATACCTGTTCCTCAAGCTTTGTTCATTCTTCCTCCTAACTATTCTCAAGTCTCATCACTTACCTCTATCTTTTATGTCATCCCCTCCTTTTCTCTCCTTTGGATTATTGCAATGTATTCCAAAACTGGCTGTCTCACTCCCTGTTAATCCGTTGTCCATAAAGCAGTTTGAGTGATTTTTTTTTAATTGCAAAGCAGATCATGTGCTTGACGACATGAAAAAAGCCTGTGATGGCTTTTCTTATAAAATCCAAATTTCTTAACACAGCCTGCAAGGCCCTGGTTCCCCTATCACTTTCTCTAACCTCATCTTGTGCCACTCTTTCCTTTCCTTACTTCAGCATTTTTGTTCTTCATGTAAGCCAAGCTCTTTCCCCAAACTCCAGGCCTTTTTACCAGCAGTTCTCCATTTGGAAAGCCCCTTGAGCCAACATATCCCTCCCCAAACTTCTTTGCTAGCTAAGTAATCTTTTATGTTTTAGCTAATATCTCAGCCTTAATGTCATTTCCCCAGGTGGGCATCCCTGAGTCCAGCCTAGTTTAGATCTTGGAATGTATACCCATAAAATCAATGTGTTTCTTCAAGTAGATGGAATATGAATCAAGCTTTGAATAATAAGGCAATTTGGGTAGAAAAAGTAAATAACTTCTCAGGGATATGCTTATATGTGTGTCTATTACAGTTTTCCTTTCTTCCCACATCTATAAACTTCTTCTCATCGCATATGCACCCTCACAAAGCTAGTACTGAACTGGTGATAACAATGATTCTTGCTACCAAAGTAGCAGCCTTCTGTGTAAAGATGCTAGGCCACCAAAAAAACAACTCTTCCCCTCCTACTCACCTGTGCTAGGACTCAGAAAATGTTTGATAAAAGCCGACTCTAGGAAGGGTAGATAATATGTTAAAAATATGATTTTCTGATAGTGTCAAACTTGCACAAAGACTAGTTTCAATATTGATGGCAGAATTAAATAATTTTAACATCTGCAAATAAGATGTTTCTCTTTGGCTCTCCACATTTCAATTATCATCAAGTACTATGGGTACTTTCATCTCTCTGCTTTTAACCTCCTTAGTTTTACCATCATTGACAATACTGTACTATTGGCCTTCATCACTTCAGAATTGGAATGCAGCAAGAAATGCCAAGTAGACTACATTCTTCCTCTCCCTTTCCACCCCCACCCCCAGCCATATTTGCAAATTAAATTCTCCAAGACACCACAGTGATGTGATCATGCCCTGCTCGAAAGCCCCGATGACTCTCACTGCATGATAAACACAAAACTTTGTCTGCAGTCTGGATCCCCCCATTGTCCCATTTATCAAATGATCTCTATGCCCTGCTCTCCCCCATGCTTTCAATTTTCCCTTTTCTGCCCCATATACACATACTATTGACAAATATTGCACATACTAAATGTAAGTCCTGCTTCTTGCTCCCTTCATGTAACAGATCCCTATCCAACTTTTAAAACCAAGCCCAAATCTTATATTGTCCTGCAATCACCTCAGCCTGTGGTGATCAATCTGGTCTCTGAAATAATATTTTCTATAAGTTTCTCTATGTTGACAATCACCACACACTACCTTATATTGTGGTTTTTGAAGTGTCCAAGCCTAGTCCTCCAAATGTCTAAGTTCCTGGAGGGCAAACTATATGTATTTTATAAGTGTGACTATTTAACATTTGACTGCTAAAAAGCAGTCAAATCAAAAGCCAAACAAAGAAAAAACTTGAGATCTAGAAATGACAGATCCAGTCCCCTTAGTGATAGCCTCCTCAGAATAGTCAGCTTGGGCAACTATATGTGTATCCCAACAATACCAACTTTGAGAAAGACACAAATCTAGAGAAAATAGCTGATACCGTGTCTGGTGGTTTGTATTATTTTTCAAATGTTTCTTCCTTTCCCACTTCTTGCCATGGTTCACTAAGAATGGAGCGTACCTCCCCATGTACTGACTCCGGCCTTGGCCTTGTGACTTGCTCTGACAAATGGAATGTGAGCAAATGTGATGAACATTCCAGCCAACCTGAGACTTTGCATGTTCTGTGTGACCAACTTGTCCTGTGTGCTCCTTGCCAGCATCAGTGGACAGCGGGCTCAAGCAGTCACTGTTCCTCTAGCCCAAGTCCTGGAAGGAGAGGGGAGCACCCCTGAACCTGCCACCAGAAACAGAACTGCCGCAGCCCACCTGCACGCTCAGGAATGAGATGTGTTTGTTAAGTCACTGAGGGTTCATTTTTAAATAGCTGATTAATTCATAGATGACAGAAATCAAAATATGAAATAATCTTAAGAGGCTAGAATGCTGCTGGACTGAAACCAACTGGATAAAACTTAAAATAGGAAATGCCAAGACCTGTGTTTGGGTTACAAAAAAAAAGCAGCAAGTGACAGGATTTTCTTTGCCACCACTGCCCAGCTTCCAAATACTTCTGAACACTGCATCTAGTTAGTTACCCAAAACCAATTAGAAATAGCAGGCGAGATGAAACTTACTATCTGCCATCCCTCAACTGGTGCATAGTCAGAGAGTAAAGAATGGTGAGGAGTCTAGCTAGACAGCACATTTTATGATGAATAATTGAAGGCACTGGAATAACTCATAAATTCACATGGTGTTACCATAGAAAGACTCTTAGAAACCATCTCAGACCCCCCCATTTGTTGCAGATTTATTTTTGCTCGGTGAGAAGAAGACAGTATCATTCTTATTCTTCATTCATCCTTTCTTCCAAATCACCCACTAGCATTTAATTATATTTACAGTGAATGGAAATATAAAGAATACAATGCAGCCTACAATCCAAGGCAAAAAGATAGATATTATCAGTTACATAATTCTCATTATACGGTATTAGGAAGTATCTCCCAGTAGATTGTTTTCAATAATGGCCACATTATTCCCTTCCCTGTATCCACACCCCCTTTGCAGTGTGACTCTGTAGCTCCTTCCAGCAAGAGGTGGGAGCTATTTCTCCACCCTTTGAATCTGGAATGGCTCATGACTTGCTTTGACCATGACACTGCAGACATGACACTGTGTTATTCTGAGGCTGGGCCTCGAGTACCTTACCACTCCCAGAACACTGCCTGCATCCATGGCAGGGCAGATGAGCTGCTGCAACATGAGACAGCACATGGGCCACAGCTCAGCTGTGAGGCCGTCAGGGCTCAGGCCTCAGCCATGTGAGAGAGGATTTGCGCTGAAAGTAGATCAGATGGCCTGACCCAATAAGCAGCGTGCTCTAGACTCACAAACAATGATAACTGGTTGTTGTTTTGTCCTCTGAGTTTTGGGGGTAGCTTGGTTTGTTATGCAGCAATAGATCACTGATACAAATCTTATGGGGGGAAGCAAAGCATCCAACTACTGAATTCTAAGGAGTTTCTTAGTGGTGCAGGACCATTCCTGCCCCCAACCATGAATATTTTCCTTGGTATTTTTCCTCCCCCCTTAGTACACTGCCTTGTGTGTCCTCACCACACCCCCATGGAATACTTACTAGCTCTGTGGTCTGTCTTTACTGCGTTGCTCTGTTTCAAATGGCAGATACAAATCTGATTTTAAAAAAAACTTTAGTAATATGTTTAAAGACTTTCTCCTTCTAGCAATCATTTAATTTAGAAAATTTTTCTAATGTTGATAACCTAAGTATCTAATAGTAGGAGTTAACACTTAGTGAAGCTGTGTTGTTAATCTGTAATATAGCCGGATTGAAATAATAGGATTCCTAATAATTCCCTGCAGTTCTGTGGATTTTTGATATTCATATGGTAGAATGTCAATATCATGCTTTCAAAGACTAGTTACATTTGAAAATACGTATAAAATTTAAATGTAGGATAGAAAATGTAGTATTGTACTGTTACTGTGAGAATATATGGAAATGTAAATACATGGAAACACTCAGAGAAAAAGAACGAGGGAAAGAAAGGAGGGAAAATACTTGAAAATGTTAATGTTTCTGAGTGTTGGATTACTTCTTTTTAATTTTTTCTTTTTAAATGTCTAAAGCACTTTTAAATTCGTGGTCGTAACGCGCTCACAAACACTTTTTGAAGTTTGTGAATTGAAGACAGCGGCCCATGACTGCCCAGGATGGGGTTTACCGGGGAGACGCGAGTCTTCGGGTTGGTTGAAAGGTTTCCAAATCAGCCGCCGCCGCGCGGCGGGAGGGACGCGGATGCTCAGAAGAGCCACCCCACGTGCTTTCGGGGAATCGGCCCGGGAGCCAGAAGGAGCAGGATTGGGAGGAAACCGAAAAGCGAAAGTTAGACGTGCAGAGCGGTGCGCAGGCGCGAGCCCGGGGCTTTCCCGCTGCCTGCGCGCCCCCTGCCCCTCCCAGCCCCGCCTGCCGGGGAGCGGCGTCTGTCCCGTCTCCCCAGAGGCTAGCAGCGCCCTTCGTCTCTTCTGTACCTGCATTGTCTGCATGCATGCTAACTCACTTTCAGGCAGCTGGGGTGGCTGCTCTTACAGGTGAGGATGAAAGTGGGCGACGGGCCCCTTTGTTACATTGCAAAAGGGGCTTTCCACATTCTCCTGGGGTCTTCTCAGCCCCTGCCTTCTCCCTTATGGTGATTATGGCCGAGGGAGTGAAGGAGAAGTATATTAGGGGAGAATATAGTGTAGTCAATGGACCATGATCTTGAAAGACAGCAGGCACAGGAGAAATAGTTTTGGCCCACCCTGCTGTCATTGCAGTTTACTCTGGTTCCGGGAGGCGCGGACTGGGTTCCTTTGTGCTCAACTCAACCACTCTTAAAGGGCTTTCCCTATTTAGGGTGACCTAGGGACCAGTCTAGGACTTCCAGCGTGTGAGGGGCGTACAGGACTGGACCTCCTGTGAGATCAGGCATCAGTCCCCTTGGCTGCAGCAAATGGACCTGTAAGCGCACTTTACATAATTCCCATCATGCATATGGGCGTTAGAGGACAGGACCCTCTGTATAATTTGCAAGGTCCATTGCAAAATGAAAATGTGGGGCGTCTTATTAAAAACTTACTAAGAATTTCAAGAACCCAACAGCAGAGCATTAAACCACAAACGGAGCCCTTCTGAGTGCTTGGCCCTGTGCACTGCACAGGTTGCACACACATGAAGTCCCCTGGAGGACAGATTTCTATAGAAACCTTTACATGTTACTTAAAACAAATGCAAACTTAAATATAACGAAGAAACAAACTATACTACTACTTCTTCCTACAGCACTCAACAAAATCCAGAGGTTTCAGCTTTCCCTATAAACCCTACATGCTCTTGCCTTGCTTCCTTCTCTGGCCCGTCTTGCCCCACTCTCTCCATGCTTCACTATCTCACCTCCAGGTGGCTTCTCTCTGTTCGTCAAGTACCCCAAGCTTCCGCCAGCCTGGGTCCTATGTAAATACTGTTTTTGTAGGGTGCAATGTTCCTGGCCGTGTTCACTGAACTGGCTTCTTTTCTCTCTTTAGGTCTCAGCCCAATATGATCGCCTTAGAGAGACCTTAATTGACCACTGCTCCCAGTTACTCTGTATCACATTTATGTTCTTCCTAGCAGTATATCTGCCCTTTATTATTTGCTTGCCTGTTTTCACCTTTTCTCACAACAGGAGGGGCTTTATGCTGTGTTACAAAACTGTCTCATCCCCAGTTACACGAGAGAGAATTAAGCCTCATGTCCGGAGGCATCTGTGTATGAATTATCTTCTCTCCTATCTATACATCTAGAATGGCATATACATCTATGTGTTGTCCTTGGGAGAATTGAGAAAATAGTCAAGCAAAGTACATTTTGTCTTGTGGTTCAGATGGTAAACCCTAGTAGAGAAAGGCAATGCCTGATTCAGAGTTTCAAAAATATTTTTTGAATGACTAACGTCATTGACCAACACTGGCTGCAGGAATCACAGGTTAATTCCACCATTCAGAACTTAGCACGGGCTCCAGGCCTATTGAGCTAGAATTGAGGGAGAAGAGAATAAAGAGCATGTACATTTTGAAAAACTCCCCCAAGGGATTTTAATGAAAGTACCAATCCTCCAAGCTCCTTCCTACCTCTCTCCCTCTCACCCTATGTAGATGGCCCATTGGCAGCAGTCTGTGAGCCATCTTCATGGATGACTGACTGTCAAGCCTAATGTAAGAGAGGTACAGAATTGCATAGGACATTTAGCAGAGGAAGGAGTAGTAGAGCAATGAGTTGAGTGAAGGGGGGAGTTAATGGAAAATTCAGGAACACTTGGTTCATGTGTGGGTGGGCGAATGTCTGGGATGTCAGGTACATAGGGTAATTAGAACGAGCTAATAATCAAACAGTCTAATCCAGAGCCTTTCTACAGAGTTTGGAAGTCATGAATGAGGTGAAGTAGAGGGGATGTCCTGTATTGTTTGAGTAATAGCAAGCATGTTTTGGTTAATCAGTTTGAAGTTTGGTATTAGGGACTGTTCCATAATTTTAGGGTTTGAAGTATTATAAAGAGAATTCTAGCTTAGTTTTGCAGGCAGATCAAGGAGCAAAAGCAAGCAATCAACTACTTACTGCCCTCTATGTGTTCAAACACTAAATCTTTAACAAATATTTATTAAGGGGAAGGAAGATTGTGCTACATTTTAGAGTTGTAACTGTGAACAAAGCCTTCTTGTTCCCTGTACATACAGAGCTTGCTTAGAGTCTTGTAAAGACCAATGATAAGCATTTGTAAAAAGGTGGTAGGAATTGTGCTGGGGAATCTAGAGAATATGGAGAGATGGCGTGACCTGAGCCACGTGCACACGCACGCACACACATGTATGGTGTGTATTTATCAGGAAGGCTTTCCAGAGCCTGAATGATGTGGGAACGTTATCCAGGTGAAAGGGCAGATGGGGGTGGGGTGGGAGAATTGAAAGACTCCAGCAGAAGGAAGTGAGAGCCAGCATGGGCCATCAAAGAAACTGAAAGTAGTTCAGTCAATCCTGCTTGTGTGTGTTTTGGAGGACAAGAGAAGTGATGAGAGGCGACTTGAAAACTTAGTTTAGACTCTTCTTAAGAAAAACCTAAATAACATCTGACCTTGGGAAAAATCAGTTGGGAAATGTGGTCTTCATCCAGAGCTGGGATTCTTAACTGTTTTTTGTGCCATGGAGTTCTTTGCAGTCTGATGGAATCTATGAACTCCTTCCAAGAGTAATGTTTTTAGTTGAATAAAATAAAATACATAAGATTAAATAGGAAACCAATTGCATTGAAATACAGATATGGAAAAAGTAAAAGCAACTTGTCATATAGTAACTTACATGCTTCTTTAATGGCTTTAAATAAGATCTAGCAGTGGGGCTGATGAATACAATTTCAAACTTGTGCTTAGCCTAAGCAATATTTTGAGAAAACTGTAACAACTGTAATATGACAAAAATGTGGTGGTTATAGTTTGTTGCCTTTATTTCTAATTGAAGGAAATTCTAAGTTTCAGTTAGAAGTTTGTGAAAATCAAACTCTAACTTTTACCATCCAAACTCATGCACCACCAGAATTCTATCCATACACCCCAGGTAAGAACAGCTAATCCAAAATGCTATGAGTCATTCAAAGATTTTTAAGGGAGTAAAATCCAGTATATTTTAGAGCCCTCAGTCTATATAGCAAGCCACATGGAACTGTTTGTTGTATTTACTTAAAGGATGTTACACAGAATGTCCTTCATTGTGTTTTTATAGTGTCCTCTTTGTGAGGACTCTGGTGGAAATGTTCCACAATTGTATGGCTTTGTTGTCAGAAAAGGGTGAAATCTATTATACGTAAATTATTTTTCAATAAGCCAGACTTTAAAAAATGCAGCCAGTCAAATCAGTCAATGCTCATGGTCAATTTGAAAAAGAAATTGTCTCTATGTCAGGAATGGGAGCATGTGCATGCAGAAGCCAGCTTGCTACCTCTAGACTACAGGTATCTGTGATAGCACAGTGCTAGGACAGTCTGACCCCTGATTCTGTTCCTTCCTCTGCAGGGGGTTCATGCGCCTTCTGAACCATGTGAGGAAAAGAAAAATCCCTGGGTTCGCCGGAGGTATACTCATTCTTTATGATTCTTTAAAGGGCCTTCCTTGCTACTGTAAGACTTGAGGAAATCTACCGGCAGCTGCTTCTTTTGGCATTTATTCCAGATAAGGCACTGATATTCAGTACAATTTGTCAAAGTGAGTCTTTAAAAAGAATTTGAAAAAAGATTGGCAAAATGGACATCTGTGATTGGTTTGGGTTGGGTGAGGAGAGAAGTGAAAAATGTGATTAATATCTTAAAAATAAATTTACATTTTGTTTCATTAAATGTTGCTTATTTGCTACTAATTGGCAGAAAACATTTTCTGGGGTAGGATTTGATGTAAACGTGGTCTAAATTCCCTTCCCACTGCATTTCCACCCCAAATGTACACCTTAGCCTGAACTAAACAGGTATTCCTAGGAGTCCCCTGATAAAATCCCATTACCCCCACAAAAATAATTTCTGGAATGCATGACTCGCACTCTTGGGAAATAACTCTTTATGCTAAGATCAAGAACTTGATTTTCCTGAATCTAAATAAAGATAGTCACTTACTGAACTCTTAATCTTACCACTTGGCCTCTGCCTCTATTATAGGGAGCAAACTATAGATGTCTTCATATTGTCTACCCCCAAACAACAATGATGGCTGTGATCACATATAAAACCTTGAGATTCCGCTACCAACATTAGTAAGCTTTAAAATTTCTGCTGTGTAAGTAAGAGTCCATCATACTTTCAACACATTCCAGGAATGAAAAGTTTCTGCAACCTTTTTTTGTATCTAATCCAATTAAGAGTTATTCCCTGGTAGGAAATTACCTCTTTAAAGATAAAACTATAATAATCATTTTATAGTTCAAATACCAAACAAAACAGTTTTAAACCAGGTTTTCAATTATTTCCTCTACTCTGCTGCCAAGTGATATAAAAATTTTAGAAAACTGGCTTTGTGGAGGGCAGTAGAGACTGGGAGAACACACCTCGAGTTAGCCCTGTGGTCCTCCATCCAACAGACCCTTCACCCTGAGTACTGTCAGGAACTTGCAAAGGAGTAAGGGAACTGGCCAGGGGGCAGGGGCAGAGTTTACCCCATAGGGTCAAATGTAGGATGTACTTGGGCACATGTGGGTACAAATAAAGGATGACATTGATAGGATGGAATGTAGGCAAGAAGGCAGGTTGTATTAAAAGCCTTTTTCTCTCTTTGAAATATTTTCCATCAGATGTTAGCTACTCCTGTTTGGCTGCCTGGAGCATGGGAGATGGGTGGAAGGAGTTGGAGATAAGCCCTGCAGTGGAGACTGTCATCTCTGACTCTGCAGTCAAGTCTTACCATGGCACAGGCGTCAGGACTTTTTGTAGCTGGTCATGGCTGATGCCTTGGTATGGTGACTTCCTGACCTGGCTCAGCAGCTTTCCCAGGATGTGGAGACCCAGAGAGCTCTCCAGGTCTTGAGCTTTACCCACACTGTTACTAAGGGTGGCGTCTGGGCAGCGGCACCTCTAAGCGTCCAGTTGGGGCAAAGTAAGGATCAACATAGACCGCAACTCACCTACATGCATCACTATCCAGTAAACTCCCTCTGCTCCCTCATCACCACAGAAAACTGAAGGGATGGAACATCTCATCCTAAACTCCTTTCCCAAGGCTCAGGTTGGATCCATGGGACCAGAGACTATTCTAGCTGGGAAGAGCCATGGGGCCCTCACAGAAAAGGGGAGCATGCAGCCCAGGAATTAAACCACTTACCCAAGGCCAGTGTTGTTATTCTATTCCCAGTCCTGTTGGCATGAGGTTTTTACCTGTGTGTCTGCTGTGAACCCTGATGCTGGGACAGTGTGGATACAGCCATCAAGACGATTCTTAATTCACCACAAGACACCTGGGAATTGCTCCTGCATTACCTCCATCTTGTATCTAGTGTGATGACTCTTAACTTGCCAGAGCTCAGGACTTGGCTTATTGGGCTTTTCCTTCAGGCGTTCATACTGGTTTTTGAGTAATGTAAGTGTGACTCTCTTATTCTTGGCTTTGATTTTATTCTGAAATTTTAACACATTTCAACCTTCTAAGCCAAAATCATAAGTAATATGTGAGAAACAAAATTGGAAATGAAACAAACACATACAAAGGGGCCTTTTGTTAATATTATATTAACAGTGGTTTTCTTAAAGTGTCTTATCTTGAAAGTTTATCTGAAGTTTTGATTTCAGCATTTCAATAACAGCACTCCAGTTGGGAGTGCCCTGCCAGTGAATGGAAGGCTTCAGATGTGAACCATTTCCTGGGAACTGGTACATCTAAAGCTGAAGAAATAGGATGTGATTGTTAGCATATTTCAGTCTTTAAATGTTTTCATTTGCTTCCTTCTTCTGAGCTTCAGAAGTTCATCTGTCATTCAGCAGAATATGGAGACTTCATCTAAAATTGAGAAATGAAAATGACCTTTGAGGAGACTATTGTTTTGTAAATAAGTATTTCTTAAGGTGAACATCCTCTTGTCTATTAAATACTCCATAATCTTTATACCAATTAATTTCTTAAGTATTCACAAAAGTAATTGAGGTTGATCAGTATAAAATAAAAGACATCTTTTCAGTAGATGGAAACTGTTTTAAGAAGGCCTATTTATCCCACAGAAACACAGTGCAGAAATAGGTACAAGATGTTGCAAAAAAATTTTTTTTATAACTAAATGATTTAAGGACAACTTACATTAGAATGAGCTGTCAAGGGAGAGTATAGACTTTCCATCCCTGGAGATCTTCAGGAAAAGGACTAAAAACCACTTGATTTATGTAAAATTTGCTGCCCCAAAATGTGCCTCTTTGGCATGTGTATTATTCCAGGCTGATTATTTTGAAGAAATAGAAAGCTTAGTAAGAAACTTAGACCTCCCCATGACCTCCTAAAGGAATTTAGATAGAGGACCTTCTCCAGGAAGGGAGCTAGCGCCATAGATAGCTGTAGTATAAAATGAACTAGGGTTGTAGACAGGGAGGAATTTAGCAGATCTCTTTCCTCTCTGTATTGCATTGTTTCTGTGTTAGCAAACATTTACTCTTTTTCCTCTTCCTTCCTTTGAAGTCCCAGACCCTTAGCCCCTTCTCCTTTGCTCAGAATGGTATATAAGCCTCACCTGCCTGACTGCCTGTGGACCTCATATTCTTAGGCAGCCCCACAGGTTTGTAATTAAATTTTATTTTCTCCTGTTAATCTGTCTCATGCCAATTTGACTCTTGAAGGGCAGAGGAAATCTTTCCTCCCCCACACCAGATACAAAGCTGTAGGGGCTCAGGGTGCTCCAAGATTCTCTTATTCTGGTATATGTTCATCCTCATGTAAATTGGGGGTTTGAACTGCATGATGGTATTGGGGAGTAATAATAAACAGAATGTATTATTTTAAATCATGTTACAGCATTTAGATTAGGACTCAGTTCTCAGAAGAGTATTATCATGCTGCTGTTGACTGTTACTCATATATTGAGGAAGCTCCTGAGATGGGACTAATAGCACGAGGAAAAATTACGCAAGAGAAATTGGAATTTGTGGTGCTTGAGTACCTAAATTAAAAATTAAATTAGGTTTATAAATATTGACTAATATGTGTTGCCTGCTAAAGTTGTGGGGTCAATGTTGGAAGTAGGGAGGAAGAAGTGTACTTGAGTAAAATACGGGAATATTTTGTCCTTTGGTGGCTTTGATGGAAGCACCTGGAGCAGTTCAAGTAAGCAAAGGTGTCTGCTCTCAAGGCCTGTGATACCAGCAACACAGGACCGACCGTACAGCTGCCCCTCTGTGTTATGCTCACGGATTTGTTCTGATAAACGTGTTCCTCACAGCCCAGGCAGAACTTCAGTCCCTTTGATTCACACACCACCTTTGCTTCATTAGACATGCCCCTGACCAGCAATAGAAAAGAAAGGGAACATACTGCAGTTTCAATGGTGGTGGGACTCAGGTTTTCTCTCAGCACTGCATATACACTTGGAGACATAGGTAGAAGATCTGATGGAGAATGTGGCTCAGTTGAATCACTTCGGCTTAAAGAGATAACAAGGTAAATATTGAAAAGGATTAAAAAATAATAGCCTGTGGGGACTTAGTGTCAGGAACTCATTTCTAGGGCTTCATCTATTTGTGACACTGAGAGGCCTAATTGATCATTTGAAATCAGAGCATTCAGCCTACTATGGAATATATGGCATTTAAAGGGCAGCTTTCTAATTCCAGTCATGATAGACTGGTACATGCTGAAGACTAGCTTTATGTATTGAAGGAAATGGGACACTGAGTATTAAAATGCTTTTCCCAGTTCTGTGTACTCTGCTCCACCCTTAAATACCCTATAGGAAAGTATTTTCTTTCTTATAAATTCAGTTACAAGTATCTTACATGTGGCTGAGATTACTTACATTGTTGAAATGGGGATAAAAACAGAAGGAACATAACCTTTGTCTCCCCTTTCTGTTGGTCTTGAAACTGGAAGAGAAAGGCACAATATTGGGAAAAAAAGTTACCAAATTGGTGGTAAAATTAGAAAAAATCTAGGAAAACATAAGTAATGCTAAAAGGAAGACAATACAATTGTTTAGTGATTCACAAAATTTTTTAGTTCAATCAGTATAACAGTATTTTAGGTGAGCATAAAATGTGCAAGAAGAGAAAAACAAATCTCTTGGCAGGCCTTATCTGGCTTTATGTATTAATGTCTCTAAAATGTGTGAAAAAAACTGGGAGTCAGTTATATTACTTGTCTTCTATGTTATGTTTGAATTTGATTATAAGGATGGCCTTATAGGAGATTTATGTGACTCAGGATGGCAACTGGTCACCATCTGTGAGTGACAGTTTTTGCAAGATATTCTAGAAGATGATGTTCACAGATTTAGTTGCTGTAGATGAACATGTTAGTGAGGTGTATGTACTTTCAAACAGAATGGTGAACTCATATTACAATTATATAGCTAATTTCTTTAGTATTCTTTTATATATTCAATGAATATTTACTAACTGCCTATTTTGGCCAGGTATTATTTTAAGGCCTTAGGACATAACCAGGAAAGGCAGGGGTGTCGAGACTTGTTATTGGTAGGCTAGGAGGTGGGGGTGTCTCCTTGTCCCCTCCATGAGGCCTTTCCAGTCCCTTCCCTGTGGCCATTCTTCCTGCCCACATTATCTTCATGTCACTGGTGATAAAACCATGCCAGCCATTTTGTGCAGCATGGGCCATACATTGCCACAGTACTCTTGCATTGTGAGACCACAGTAAGGTAAAAAATACAAGCTTATAAATGCAGGGCCTCTTTTGCAAAAAAGAGATTTCTAACAGCTTTCTTATCATTACCTCCTCTTCCTTTTCCTCTCCCCAAGTCACAGAAGTGAAGTCAGCACCCTCCTATTTTGGGAAGGAGAAATCCAGAACTCTACCAGTGGCTGTGAGAGGCTCCCTGGCCATGGTGCAGCCTGGTTTCAGCTACGGATTACTAACCGCTCTCTAGAACTGGCCATCCCCAGCTGTCCCTTTTCCAGAACTGCTGACACACCACTTCATTTCTAAGGCTTTGATCTCTACACACTCATTAGAGTTTATAAGCATCAAAGTAAAAGGGGAACTTCATTTACTTTACTCCAATATGAGGTTATTTTCCAGAAGCTTAAGCAAAAAAGCCAACAGGAAGAACCTGACCTTCACATGGTTGGGAGCTGTAGTGTTTACCGAAGGCTTTGTCTTTGGGAATGTCAGGATATAGGTACTTCAGAGGGTTTTCAGGGACGTTTTCAGCCATAATAACTTTGTAGTCTCTAAGGATGTCAGCGAATGGCAGAGCAGACAACCGGCCTTTATTGTAGGGTTCCACAGAGTGGAATCTCACTTCTCCTAGAAAAGCAGGGAGGGGTGGGTGAGGGTGGGGGATACTCAGCTTCCTGCAGACATTCTTTGTGGCCATTCTTCCTGTCCACATTATGTTTATGTCACTGGTTATAAAATAATGCTAGCCCTTTTCTCCCGTGTGAACAGTACAGATTGCCACAAGATAGAGGACGCCCACACAGGCTATGAGAAGTTCCTGGCACCCTCTCCTGAGACAACTGTAACAGCTAAATTCAAACCCACTGAAAACATATGAAAAATAGAACAACAAGCCACACACTTTCGAAAGATGAAATGCCAAACACCAAACTCAGCACAAATTCACACAAATAAGCAACAGCGAGCACGTACCATTTTCAGAGTGGTCCACCCAGGTGAAAGTTATTCCTCCAAGGTGGCTTTCACTGAATCTTAACAAAAAGGTTCCAGGCATTTTATCCTTTAGCAAAAGCCTTTCCTTCTCTTTGCTAACAAAGCCCATGACATACCTAAAAATAGAACAATGTGTAGTTTTATCAAAGGCTGTAATTTATTCCATTTGCATTTACTTCATTCACAAAGAACAGACCTAAATTTGTTTTGCGTATGATCCAAATTCTGTGGTGCCTGAAATGCTCTTTTACAGACTAAAGTAAATATCAGTACTCTGTGAAGATAAAGTCAGAGACTGCAACTACTTCTGTCTCCACCCCATGACATTAAACATGCAAGAAAAGAAAGGAAAAAAACTAGCAGCATAAAGTAAGAACTTAATGAATGCATACAGAAAACTTACCCATCAATCCAAAGGGGAAGAATGTGTTTCTTAATTAGATCTAATATTGCTTCAAGCCATGTCCAAAAGGTAAATGATTTACCAGGTAAATGTTCCTATTGGAATAAATGAACATGTTAGGACAATGATTATTTCAATAGTAATATTGCTATAATAATTCAAATTCCTTTTTTAAATGGAATAATTTCCTATAAGTGAGATAATACTTTAGAGTTTCTTTTAAAAATAACCTTATCCAGGAAATCCTCAAAATGCCAGGTTTTGATATGGAGGTTTAAAAAGGTGCACTATTTAAAAAATTAATGTTTTTGATTACCTAAATGATATTCCCACTCCCCTGTTTGTACCTTGCAGAACTTGGCCCAGGTGAGATAACCATCGCTGTAGCTAGACTGCACTAAAATGAAAAGAATGAGGTTTTAATTAAACAATTAGACCATTCAATTTGGTGCTCAATTTAGATCCCCCCATTCCTTAAGCACCTGCTCTGGTTTACAGTGTACTTAATGGTAGGAACAATAAAAATATGATATCATGAAATTTATTACTTAGGAAAGAATTTTTTCAATGGAAAAGCTAAAGATAGCTTTAGGAAGCGGGAGGGTGTCTAGGACCAGGCCTTTATATAAATGAATAGATGAATGGATAGGATATAAATTGTCATGAATGGATAGGATAAAAATTGTCAGAAGAGAAAGCCACTCTAATAGCCAGAATAATGTAGGATAAGGCATTGGTGGACATGAACATGGCTTATATAGGAGACAGTAAAAGCTGCCTAATGCTGGTGGATAAACATTACAAAATAAATTTGTATAAGTTTGATGCAACCAGGTCACTAGTAGGTTTGACTATTACCCTGAAAAGAATGGTCTAGAGCTCCATTAGGCAATAAGCAGTCATCTACTGTTGTGATCCAGGATAGTGAAAGGATACAGGAGTTTCGGTCTAAATTTTAAGGAAATTATAAGAATACTTTCATAAAGATCTGAAAGGATATGGCTGCTATTCATACTACATATTTAAAATCTTCATTCACTGATTTGTATTTATTGAATGCCTGCTATTAGTATTATTCTTTATAAATTAAGTAAGGCTCAATAAGAATATTTACATTAAATATATTTTATAGTATTTTCCAAATTCATGACTTATTTAAATACCTACTGAACAGATAGCAGGTGCAATAGGCAAGCCAGCATTCCTTCTAAGTCAAACTTAACCAAATCACACACAGTTCACAACTTCTCAAATGCATCTTGGGCCCTACTTTAACTAGAAGTGTATGCAAATCCAATTTTAACTCTTTTTTGATACTAAATGTATTCACCTCAGACTTGTCAAAATATAGATACCTTTTAAAATTCTTTTAGAAGAAGCTGTGGTCACTACATGGAGTACAAATAACTTTAATTTTAAAACTAGAAATATTGATCAAAACTGAAATATTCTTGATATGAAGACTTAAGATATTAGCTGGTGGTTTTTAATTTCTATAATAAATTTTCTGGTCCTGGAATCAGCTATTTTCCAGTTGATTAATAACCATTGTGATATTAATAGGAAAGCTCAAGGCACCATTAAGTCTTCACATCACTCAGTGGAAATGACCTAAGAACACCCTGAACACTGGAGTGTGGAATGAAAGGAGGGGGCATTAGAACTGGACAGGCCTGGACTACGTTTGGGCCTTACTATGTACTAGCATGCCCTCAAGGCAAGTCACAGCCTCAGCATCTAAGTATACTCACCTATAAAATGGATAGAATAATGAGTTATCTTCACTATTCTCCTTGAAAGAATTTTTGTGAGAAAGATAATACAGCACTTAGCTCTGTACCTGGCAACAGAGCAGGCACTTAATAAATTGTGATGATCATTATTATTAATAACAGCAATATCACCCTGGTTCTTTAAAGCAATCAAGTACCAAAGCCAAAGGC